AAGACATAACCTACCTGAGTGGAAATGACGACGTATAACAGAAACTCGTCGTACTTGAATGACGACAAAAATACAATTTAATCGTCACTTTTTTTAACATCCAATCGCGATTTGGAGATCAAATGCCTACGTTACACATAGTTGTATAACCTAATCCAATAACCACTATATTATATATGGCCCTGATGCTCAATGGTGATATGCACTGCCAGAGTTGTTTATTAGTTAGGGTTTTTTCAAAAAAATCTAATTGTGATTTGAGGGTTTGAAGATTGATGGGGTAGTTCATGCTCTATTTTTCAAGAGCCGAGAAAAGATAAACAACTGGAGTTGAAATTATCCTTTCCCAACTCTGGGTTCTTGTCTGCCAATCTTCCATTCCGTTCTGAATATGAATTTTTGTCCTTTAAATACAGCCATAATTACTGGTAATTAAAACGTACTCACTTCGAAAAATGCCGCGATGGAAAGCCAAAACAACCATTGATATAACCGTTGCTACCACCGTGAAGAATTTTCTCGAAAACTACGCTGAAATTCATGGACTACCAAGTCCTGTAGAAACGTCAATCGCATTACTCAATCGCTTAAATTACAAATCGGTCTATCGCGATTTTATCGCAGGTCTTGAAAACAATAGCACGTTGACGTTGTTAAAATATGATGCGTTCCGTAAGTTATGGCACCAATTAACGCCTTATATTCAAATCATGAGTCCGAGAATAGATTTATGCGACACGTGCCAACATTTTCGGAACGGCTTATAGTACAACACTCGTAAGGAAGAAGAAGCGAAAGATTTATTAAAAAAGTACATTTAGTTAAGGCTAAATTAGAGAGAAATTATTACAATAAAAATACGAAATTAACAGAGCAACAGAGAAAATTGGTAGATGAGCATTTTATAACAAGAGGTAAAGCTGATTATTGTAGTTTTGATGCTACTGCTCATTACAGTTACGATTGGGCACAAAATGTTCACGTACCCCATTCCGATCAACAGGTAAAGCAGTACGCGAACAAATTAATTACGTTCTCGATGAAGACGAAATTATCGGCAAAGGCCCTAATGGCACGCTGAGCATGGTATCTGATGGAATTAAAGATTGAATAAAGGTGAAAAGCATTTAAAAATTACTTGTGATAACGCGGGCGGTCGGAATAAAAATAATGCTACCACTTGGTTTTATCTGTATTATAAACTCGATTATCAAATCCAGTTATTCCCAGAGACGTTGCAGAATGCGTAAAAAAAACATCAATCTTAGTAGTTCTTCACCCTCGTCTGAGTCCGGGTCTAGCACTGAATTGTCTAATGATGAAGAGGGCGTAATTAAAGTCCATGAGGCAAAAGCAAAGAAGCGTGATTAATATTTATACAAGTCAATGATTTCAGCTACTTCTGCTACAGCATCCTCATTACGCGTGTCCTATTTTGTGACTATATGCCAGTTGTCTCAAATGTCGGCGACGGGAATCATTCTTACCTCCATGCACTCTGGAAGCGTAATCAGCTCCTATTTTCCGTAAGTGACTTGAGCTAATACTATAAGATGCTATAAAGTTATTAATAGTATAAACATTTACGTTATCATCTTCTCCCTTTGACAAGAATGGAAATCTTTTTGGTATAGCCTTTTGGATCCAGATAAGTAATTCTCGAGCCAGTACCGGATTTTTTTCCATAAATAGAAATGGTCGAGGTTCATTATTTTTATTTTAGCATATCCGGTGCAGTACCAAGAATATTTAGAGTTGTACCAGTTTGCGTTATTCGGTTTGTAATAGCTAATACAAAGGCCTTTCACATCGGCTGATCGCATACATAACATTATCATTATATCTATTCAATTTTGCATTGAGAAGAGATTGGATATATCGCATTTTTGTAACCGCTCTTGCATCTTTTCAAGGGTAAAGAAGTCAGGATAATCAAATCCTTTGTCTTCATAAAGTTCTTGCGACTCTTTGTTTTTTATTCGAATAGGTAATATCGGGTACCTATGTATGTAGCTTCTATTGTCAAATAATCAGCACCAAGTTTACGCAGTTCTTTTCGAAGTAATTTGAGACGTGCTATTTCCGTGGGAGTGGTACCACAGGCTTTCGTATATTTTTTCTGGGTCAAGATCTTCTTCGTTTTCCTTAATATACTGAGCAAGTTTTTAACTGAGTCTTTTCCTATAACACGTCTACAAGAAGCTTGCACAGGGATAAGGTTGTTACTAAATCGTAATTTCTGGATTCGTTTTCGTGCATGGTCGCGTCTTTCAATTTTTTGACCAACTCTTCGGCGTAACTGCTATCTACTGCGCGATTAAATAGTCAGGATGAATTCAAAGATCTCACTTGCCCAAATGCACTACTAGCGAATAACTAAAAAGATTATTACAAACAACAAAACAATTTTGATTTAATAAATAATAATAATAATAATAATAAGTGAGAATGTGAGCATTAATATTAATGGAAATAATGCAACGTCACTTGTTGCATATTGTTCATGAAGCCATCGTCACCTGATCGAATTCCCATTGAAAATGTGGCGATCGATATTTGCACGATTTCATCAACACGTAGATCAGAGAATGAGACTGAGACCCATACACTTCGTTCCGCATCGTTGGAGATTACTACCGTGGGCACGGACGCGGAATTGTGCCCTTTTACCATTATCTCTTAGCAGAACAATAAACAGCCAAAGTTCAGAAAGCGATGATACCAACGCTGAACCGGAATCAGACTCGACACAGAAGCCAATTCTACCCGTCGGAGAGCACGACGTAGCTATCATAAAAGACGATGTGACAGTTGAGAACGACACCTTACTACTCGATAGCGAAAAGGCCCTTCAGGCTCGAAATAAAAGCATCCAATACAAATTAAGAGACAAGGTTATTAAGTAATGGAAACTTATCGATTCATGTTGTAATCAATTCACATCAATTCCCACTTCCCTCATCCAAACCTAACATTATCCTCCCAATCCGATTCTTTGTACCGACATATGTACTTTTTGTTCTTAACAAGACCAGACAGTTTGCAGACTTTGTTTGGGTGACAGTCAAAGGCGGTCGTGGCGGTGACGGATGTGTTGCATTTTTTCGCGAGAAATTCATACCTAAAGGTCCACCTTCAGGTGGCAACGGCGGCCGTGGTGGAGATGTCATTTTTGTCACGTCTGCTAATCATACATCGTTACACAGCATTCCGCGAACCATAAGAGCAAGTGATGGCGAATCTGGTAAAGGACATCATAAACACGGTCACGCAGGTAAAGATATTATTGTGCCAGTTCCATTGGGAACTGTCATACGTGAAGTCGACCCGCCTACTAAGACCAAGCGTAATGATGATGAGGGTGAGCATCATCCTGAAGACGAGCAAACTATGTTGGAAAAGAAACGTGCGGCATTGTGGGTTCATTATCCACGTTACGAGGAAGCGAACCCACTCGGGTCTTATTTTTTCGAAGCTGAGAAGATGGTGGAGAGGGAACAAAGATACCATCGATATTTACGAGAGAAAGGAGCAGACAGAAAGTTGTTTCTGGATTTGTCTACTCCAGCTGAGCAGCATATCGTAACAAAAGGAGGGATGGGCGGTAAAGGCAATCCACACTTTTTGACAAGCGAAAATCGATCACCCAAATTTGCCACTCGTGGTCAGGAAGGACAAGTGCGCTATCTTACGCTTGAATTAAAAACTATTGCTGATGCCGGATTAGTTGGTCTTCCGAACGCAGGCAAAAGTACTTTTCTGACAGCAGTATCGAATGCCCATCCTAAAATCGCGCCCTATCCTTTTACTACTCTAAACCCTTTCATTGGTACTATCGACTATCGCGATAGATTCCAGTTAACAGTGGCTGATATTCCCGGGCTTATTCGCGGAGCACACAAGAACATTGGCTTAGGACATTCGTTTCTTCGCCATGTTGAAAGGTCTAAAGTATTCGTCTATGTAATCGATTTGGCAGGAGAGAGACCTTGGGACGACTGGAATATACTTCAAGAGGAATTGGAGAAATATCTTCCTGGACTCACCAAACGGCCGTCGTTGATAGTAGCCAATAAGGCAGACATTACCGATGTTGCAAAAAGCAATTTGCCATTGTTTGAAGAGAGTGTGAAAGCGAGTACGAACTACGAAGATACTATTGTTGTTCCGGTATCAGCAAAGTATCGGAAGAACATACTTAAAGTAACGACATTACTGAGGCAGATGGTGGAGAAATCTTGTTAACGAGAGGCCTTTGTTGGGAATGATGGGGGGAAGGGTTTGCTACTTGTAAATAATAAAATCATCTTCTCCAAGAGCATAGGTATGATGGGAATATGTTTATTGCGTTATGTGGCGTACTCTTCAACTACACGATTACGGTTCTTATGCAATGGAGAAATAAATTAAGATCCTCTATTAGATAGTTTACGTGTTTGTATTAATTATGTAAATAAATTCCCAGTTTCTTGTATAACGGTATATCGACTCACTTATTCAATCTCTCCATCCTTTGAATTTAGCTTCTTTAACAGCCTGCAAATACAAGTCAACAAGGTGCTTACAGTTCTGAAAATGATTTACACCTTCCGTCTTATAACATTTACTCAAAGCATTTCCAATCAGACGGGCCTCCATGGCTTTTATCCACTGTTTACGAAGCTGACGTTCGCGCGCTTCTGTTTGAGCTGGATAGTATGCAACAACGAGTGGTGAGTATAAATCCAAGACAATATTAAATACAAAGCATTCGACATACCTTCCATGTCTCGAGGATCAACCTCAGACGGCTTGGGGCCATCCAAAGGAAATTCTTTGTGAACAGGGTATTCCCAAGATGCCATGTTTTTGTTGAGTCTTGGATTAAGAAAGTTTGTTCAAAGCTTTTGTTGTATCTATTGCATGAATACGTGGTACAAAAAGTCGATCGGATGATTGGTAAATGATAAAATTCATCTTTCTTCAATTTTTTGCTCAACAGTTTATTAAACAACAAGAAAATGAACTCTATAAGATCTATTCAGCGACTCGGGGCTTTTGTCGGAGGTATGCAGCAATAAAAAATAGTGATAAAAAGTCGCTTCATTATAATTCTTACAGGGGACAAACCATTTCTCGTCCAGCTACGTCTGTCAGAACTTCACTGTTGAGAAATGCTGCTGTTGTTCCCATGCTGATGAGGTAAACTTTAACTTTAATTGATTATTTTAGGCATACCTATGGGAATTTATGAAGTCCGAACTAAATCATATCTTTGTGAATGTAAAACATATTAACTTTTCGACCTCGTTTCCCTCAATTAGGAGACAAACATCGACATCAGCAGCAGCCAACGAACACGAGCAGATTCTTCAACAACAGCGTGCTGTACGTCCGTTGTCTCCCCATTTACAAATATATCAGCCTCAATTGACATGGATATTGTCAATTGCTCATAGATTCAGTGGTGCAGGAGTTGCTACTGGTAAAAGTTCGAATTGCATTTATTGTATAGAATGAAATTTCGCTGTTAATTCATAGTTTTCTTTTAGTCCTTTACGGAAGTGCTATAGCGTATGCTATCGGGCCATATTTGGGTAGTCCATGGGATGCAGATACTCTTGTAGCAGCAGTATCTACTCTACCTCCTTCTGTAGTTTTAGCTGGCAAAGCTTCCTTGGCTTTTCCGTTTACCTTCCATACCTTTAACGGAATCCGACATTTGGTAATTCAACGTTATGATTCAAGTATATTTTTGTTACGAAATTTTGCTTGGAATCTAACCCTCATTTCTTTTCAGATTTGGGATACTGGGCGTAGTTTGACTGTTAAAGGCGTTTATATTACTGGGTGGACTGTATTGATTAGTTCTCTAGTTTCTACAGCAATATTCGTTACTATATAATTGTTTAGTATTAGATTGTTACACGAACGAACCTTGAATGAGGGGGGTTGACCCCCAAATTTAGACTCACCCCATAAAATTTTCTATGAATATAAATCAACCTTACTCTCTCGAGTTTTGCTTGAGAAAGGTTTTTGATCAGTCAAAATGTTTTTTCTCGTAAGCTTTTTAGCCCAATATTATACTTAGCCGCCCATTCGCTTTTTCAAATGCTTCTCTCTGTTCTCATCGTGCTTGTCTCGTTTCTATAACGATTTTACAATCCAGAAGCGATTAACAAAAACTTTAAATCTCCATCCTTCATATTTCGGCCCCGACATGCACGAAAACTTGAAAAACCGCCTTTACGTTGACGTAGAGGGTACATGCACTGGCAGATATGGATACATAATTGCAGTAGTGAAGATAGAGAATTACTCCCAGGGGAAGGTCTTGCCATCTCTTGGACTTGCAGAGTTTACAATCACCTATATGGCAATTGTATTTAAGCCCTTCAGAGGCGAGGTTGTAGATGGAACAGTTACGCAAGTTATTAAGGTGCGTTTGAAAACGGCAATCGGATAAAAGCTATTGATCATGTGACTCAAATTCCCGAGGGATGATTCTAGATGGGATTCTTTGCAGATGTTGGACCTCTCCAAGTATTTGTTTCAAATCATGTGAGTGTATATTCGTCATGGAGTTTGAAAAGGAATTTTTCGTTATTCTAATAAATTCTTTTGTTAAAACAGTTAATTCCATCTGAATATACGTTTGATCCACATGCAAATCCTCCCGCATACATCGGAGAAGATCAGGTACGAAGTAATCCAATATCAAGTTAGCATTTCCTATTTCGGACCTGAATATTTATATTCCTTTTGTTCATAGCCAACTATTGAAAGGGGATCATGTGTCCGAATGAAGATAGTAGGAACAAGATTTGATGCAACTGACATTGTAAGCTCATTGGTTTTGATTTGCCTTGGGTAACTGTTTTTAGTTACTCATAAGACTCTTGTGATTTTGTAGTTTGCGATTGGAACCATTAAAGACGATTTCCTTGGAGTAATTGACAGATAATGTATAAACCTTTCTACGAAATAGATTAAACCAAGCAACTCACTCTGAAACACTAGTTAAAGTGTTTCTTTAATCCTTTCTACGTAAGCAAACTGTCAGCAAAGGTTCTCTTGGACGCGTTTACCGGAGCACTACGTTTCGGACGAGAGATTGAAATTTTTATTATAACACTTTCCAAGCTTCAATTCAGACAGTGCTTGATACTTTTTTCGCCCAACATTCAAAATTAGAATTTCGCTTGCAGAACAAATTTTTCACATAATGGTATAATTATATTGTTAATCCCTTGATAATAAGGAATGTGTTAATTTTGTGTCCTTTATTAAGCAGAGAACAGCTTGTGTTAACTGATTCTTGTTAGCGAATTTCAGATAATGATAAATGGCCCGAAGACTGGATTTTAATTGTTTCCTTTATAAACATGAGCTATTGCCTGAAATGCTTACAAAACTAAAACTTGACTTGATCTATGCAATTTCATGTGCCACATTAGTTATTGAATGATATCTCGCTTACGCCTTTTAAGTATAACCCTTTTTAATTGAATAAACAAAGTGGAAGATCCGAAGTCATGTCGTTAGTCAAATCTCAACCGTTTGCAAATTTTGTCTTCAATTACAATGTAAATTTTGTTATTTTTGTCAAGATTAGTACTGTATACTTGGGAAAATAAAACAAAAACGCGTTAACTTTGAACAAGGATAGTGAGAACATGTCGCGCGATTCAATTTAGAATTGACATGCAGTACGAATTTTTGATATGCGACAAGTTGACTGTGAGATAGAGAGTCTTTACCCGAAGCAGATAATTAAATGAGTCTAAACTTATATATTTATTGCTTTTCAATTATTAATTACCCAAAGTATCACACTATCTTTACATCTCGACGCCTTACGTTTTAGTTGTTACAGTGCGCATGCCGGATGAGACGCAGAGTATTGATTATACGGCGAGTTGTGTTATGTCGTTTGTTATGTTTATAGCATGTTTGTAAAGGAGTTCGTTTTTGCAAGGACAATAAAAATTTTAACTAGACGATAAACAACGTGTATAATTTATTTTTTTAGACTAATCGTCGTATGGTTTTATGCAATTACGCATAATAATAAATTGCCCTGCGTGTTGTCAACGCGTGACACGGTACGGTTATTGATGTCATATGAAACGGCATCAAGTTTTTTCCATATTGAATATTGAATCGCTCAATACATAAACATTGGTATGCCTCTTCCGTATTAGCGGGATTTATTGAACTTTGAAGAGATGCACCGGCCAGAAGATGGTCGAGTAGCGAATTGGAATCGAGGTTCTACTGGGAAGTCAGAGACATTAATAGTGGCGAAAAAACTATAGCTCAGAGAGGAGATTGTATCCTCATGCTATTGTAGTGTAGTGTAATACCAAAAGCGAGACAAATGGCAGAAGCTCAAGACAGTAAGGGAATAACAAATTATTCTTTAAAAAAAAAAAACTCAATTTTTGCTTTGGCGTCATACTTTTATTTTTACTTAAAGTAAATGATAATATTTGCAGCAAGCACAGCTTGAATTTGGTTGGGCATGATAATAACATGTGTTCCTAGTTTTTTTACCGTGATTATGAGGAATAAGCTCTTTAGCACTCATTTATGCGCCAAAGCAAAAATTGAGCTTTTTACTAATTTGTAGCACTTCGTTAAACCGTACTTCACTGTGTAGATAAAATGGACTACTACCAAAACCGTTACTTCGCTGGTAGAGAAAAAAAGAAATGGTTCATGTGATATATCAGTAGAATTGTTATTATTTTGAATGATGACTTCTATGTTTCTTTATTTAATTATGATTAATGATTGATAATGTATTTACTTATCAATCTTTAACAGAATTATAAAGCAGGAATGTACAAATAAATATCGCACAAATTGTCCTTCTATGTATCTAAAATTGCGCATTTTCATCCACCGAGATTTTAACGTCACCATAACTCGACCTTTTTTTCAAATGCTTTTCGTCCTCTCGTCTCCCAATAATTACCGCTGTACACCCACACATCATTCTCTAGCTTAAACCACTGGGGTTCCCATTTTTTACCCGTTCTTTCCAAGAACTTTCTATATTCTCTCTGTTTCTGTTCTATTCTCAATTTTTCTGATTCCGCATTATCCACGTCTCCTTCTTCGAACAAACGTTGGTCTGGTCTCAACCTCGTATCAGTATTTGGTAGATGATCTTTAATGTCATCAGTCAACTCGTTCAGCTCCATGGTGTATTGAGTGAATCCATAGTACTGTTCATGATCTGGTGCCGGTTTGTTCGCTTTCCATATAACTTCTAGTTGGTTGGGTCCTATCTCGTGGTAGAGGACTTCATTCCATTTACCAGAAATGCTACCCACTTTCTTTTTATTCGAATCCCAGAGCACTCCATTGATGTCATTCTTCGGTCCGTTACTAAACATGCCACTTTGGTGAAAAGTGATCTCACACGCTTCACCCGTTGTTAGGTTCTCTACACGCATTACTCCTGCATGTTCGAGATATTTATTTGCCGATACCATATTGCGGATCCACGTCGATGGTTTGTTGAAGCTGAAATGATCTCCATATTTTGGAATTGATACATGTACATTTCCGGTTGATATTAGTTCCTATTAAAGACAAAAGATCAGGGCACTTGTTGGACAGTGTATGTGCGTGCGTGCACATTATATATCTTTATAATAACAATATAGGAAAACATACCATAGATTTACCTAGTAACCAGAATCTCATTAGTAATCGTCCCATTATTATTATTAGTTGCACACCCAGGAAGATGAATTACTGACTTACCCCAAAACTTTGTCCTCAATTTCGAATCTTGCCAAAAGACCCAATCTTCTGCTTCAGCGTGACACTAATTTTCATGAAAATAAGCCAAATATATCTATAATTATAAAACAGTCTTCACATCGATTATACTTACTGCCATTATTGGCGGATGATGACTGACTTTCTCAGAGATAAACCTAAAGCCTATAAGTCGGGGAAAATTATAAAGAATGAATAAATTAGAGCAATAGTTCTGTTCATAATACTGTGCATCTAAACGACGCAAATACGTAGATAGTTTTTCTTTTATCGAATTATCTACCTTTGTCTGGTCGTAAACACTCATACGTCTCACCATGCAATGGATTAAATGGTTTTCTTCCAATTCTATACTGTGAAGACGCAAAGCCGCTTACGGCAAATGCTGCAACATGCATTAGTCTATTCATTGAGTCACCCAAACTGGCTGTTTTATGTAACAAATCACTATATTCCAACTCTTCAGCAAGCTTCTGTAGCAGATTTATAGGTTCATTCAAGGATATCGGCATAGCAATAGTAGATAAATCTTTCCCCACATTCTTCTTCAGAATAGATAATAAACTAACAGAATCTCCACAAACTGGATACGGTAAATTCTTCCGGCGCTGAATAGTCATCGAATCAATAGCAGCTGGAGCTTCGATCTCTGTCAATGATCCATCGATGTCCTCTTCTGTATCAGATAATTCCTCTGCGTCACTCTCTTCTTCAATAACTTCAACAATAGCTCCATCGGCATCACTATCATCTTCGTCTGCTGTATCATGACTAAGCACTATATCCTCAGCATCAAAAAAGATTTCGGAATTAGAAGTCAATGACTGTGCACGGTAACTGACGTCCTCTATTGACTCGAATTTGTCAGCACTAATATCGTGTACTACTTGTTCAGAATCACTTGGTTGAACTTCAGAATAATATTTCCGCAACTCGTCATGTTCAGCTACCAATTTGCGGTAAGCACTATCAATTGCTTTCCACTTATCTGCTTCAGAAGCAAAAAATTCAAATAATTGATCTTTGTCACGTTTTAGTGATTCATGGGCTGCATTCAACTTTTCGTACAGGAGATCAAACATGCCCAAACTTGAGGGTGTCGGCGAGGTTGGAGGTGGCGCATCCGTTGAATTAACATCTAGTCAAATCAAAGAAATAACAGTTAATAATAAATACTAAGTGTAAATATACGAAATGTGTCTATAATCCGATGTTAATAATAAGACACGGAAGAATGTACTCACGTCTTCCAAGAGAAATGAAAGGTTTCCTTATTCTAAACTTATCACTTGTCGGAGTATGTGCTCTTTGGATACTAGGTGAAGGTGGGTTATCAATTGATGTCTTTAGTGTATCTAATACCTCCTTTACTGTCTTTAAACCATTATCCATGCTAGACGAGAATCCGCGTATTTTAGCCAATTCTTCGCCGGTTTCCGTTCTTATAAATATAGAATCTCTATATAAACTCTGTCGCCTATCAATTATGCTCTGTCTCTTGTACAAACTTGCTCGCCTAGACAAATCTATGGATTGACGAGGCGAAGTGATCCGTGAATATTCGGGATCGAATAGTTGGCGTTCCTTCGAGAGATTAACATATTTCCTAATAATAGCCATCCATTTATCGAAGTCTTCATTAGTCAAGGTTTTCAAGTGATATGTAGCTGTACCAGAATCCATATGTATTGAACGGAAAGCGCGATTAGATGATACAGTCGATAGTACAATATATATTGTTCCACGACAAGGACCGTAAGGATGTTGATAATATGAAAGAATGCCATCCTCAATTCGTACCCAGCGCTTGGCCCACCCTAGATCAATTGAGTGCATATATGAGTTATGCAATATATACGATTTTGCAATTTAACTAAATCAATCAGTACGTGCCTTGCATCTTTTTCCGCTTCTTCTTTAACATCCAACCAGATATGTCCGATCGAGATGTTTTCACCTCTTCTTGAGATTCCTCTAAATTAATATACATTAGCATGGAGGCTTATATAGACTATATCTCAAAAATGCTAGTAAAGTCCAGTTTACCATCTCTCAAAGCTACGAAAAAGGTAAGCAGTTTTGATGTCTTTCGAGAGAAGGAGTTGTCTTTATGAGAGAAAAAAAGGTACAGTGTTGGTTAACGTCTTTATAAATCAATGGATCAATTGTGAAATGCAAACAACATACTCACCAAAACATAAACAATACATTCCATCTTCGTGTACAAGGTAACTTCCTTTAATAGTTGTACTCGATGAATTATAATGTTCGATAGGCAATATTTCCTTCATGTCTGGATCATTCAAAACCTGCACAGAAACTGACTTTTTTCTTCCTTTAGTCGGTGAATTTAGTGCCGAATGGACTGAATTCGTACTCGTATCTGGCAGTGAAGTTCCTATCCCAGAGACATTCTCGCCTGTTGACTCTTCATTTTCATCTGTTTCGGCCGTATCCACCGACGTCCTGCTTACAGCACTGCTAACACTGTGTAGACTCGCACGCGATTTCTTAGTCGGAGACAGGCTTTGTGGGCGGTAAGCAGCTGGAGATAAATGACTGTCAAAAGAGGATGGCGGATGGCCATTGGAGTTCTGAAGTGTAGATATAAAAATGTTCGAGGTTGATACGGTTGTGGGAGTTATACGTCTATATAAACCGAAAGAGATGTTTTTCTTTTTAGTTGAAAACCACCAGAGAATTGTTTTGCCTTTTGGTACATGAATATAATGAGTGAATACATCGCGGGGTAGAACTTCTATTTCTTGCATTTTAATTTAACTGATTTTACAATTTAACGATTGTAGAAGCAGTATACGAGTAGTAAGGCTGAGAAGGGAACTGGGAGTAGGACAGGGAAAATGACAGAGAATCTTTTAAGTATTAAAAAAAAAATGAGTGTACAAAGTGAATATTAAACTCGAATTTCATAGTCGCTTTATAACTTTATGTTGCACAGCGAGCGGCCCGACGATCCATGCACCATAATAATAACGCCACATTTCCAGCAACTCGTGGCGGCGGCTTTTAAGGCGGTTCCCAGTAAAGGAGTAATGTTTATATCGTTCGATGAGGTTATCCGAGTTAGAAAGGGTTCAGGAGATACAAATGGAGGTCTTGGGAATGGCTGTTTTATTAACATGATAATTTTAATTAATAGAAAATTTAGGATGGCTGATGGATATAATCGGAATTAATAGAATTAATATCAATTTTGTTTAACCCTCTAATATATTTACAAAGACAACGAACGTATCAAAAAAATTCGAATTGCATGGAATTGCAAGTGTCTACCCATGAATTAACGATTGTGACCGCAATCCATCATATAGTCTGTGTTTGCATGTTTCTCCATATAAGATTGCATGTTTCAGGCTTTGCATGTTTTATGCATGTTTTCGGTTCCGCCATTCAAATACCGACAACCATAAACATATTTAAAGACATTATCCCC